TGATTATTCATCACTAAGAAAACTTTCCAAAACCAATTTCTATACCCACAAACACTCCAAATGTCCAAATTCTATTATGAGAAGCAAAAAGATCTTTCTACCACTAAACTCACATTCTCAAATTCTCTCTCATCTCAAGTCTTGAATGTCATCCTCCTTCATGTTTCCCTCTTGGTAACCTTAAAATTTGGTGATATTAGCTACTTCCCTTATTCAGTAAGTCCTCCTCAACAATCTTTTGTACTGATGTTTAGCAGTGGATAATTTTTAGGGGATCTGGGAGAAAATCCTTTTGCTGCCATCAAAATGAAAGGATATCTTAGCAGGGTGAACTGATCTAATGGAAGAATCCATTCTTTGTGTTTCCTCAGTCATGGATCAGATGTCCTCTACTTTTCTTCACTGAAGGCTAGCTCTTCAGCTCTTCAAATTAGTTCTTCAGCTAATTTGGCTTTCAGGGAGTAGCTATGTTTTTCTAGTTATAAGACTTAACAAATTCCAGCAGAATGTTTTCTTTGAGGAGTAAATGCTCTAGTGTTCTAAACTTGATCTCTTAATATGAGGAATCACTATACTGCTTCCCATAGTGGTTGTATACTTTGCATTCCCACCAGCAGTATATAAGGGTTCCTATTTTGCCACACCCTGGCCAGCATTTGCTGTTGTTGTTGCCCTTAATTATGGCCACTCTAACTGGGGTGAGATGAAATCTAAGTGTTGTTTTGATTTGCATCTCTTTTATAGCCAAGGAAGTTGAACATTTCTTCATTTATTTATTGGCCATTTGTACCTCTTCCTTTGAGAATTCCCTGTTTAATTCATGTGCCCATTTCTTCATTGGGTGTTGATTCTTTGGGGGCTGAGTTTTTTGAGTTCCTTGTAGATTCTGGATATTAGTCCCTTGTCAGATACTGCATACCATAAGATGGGAAGGTAGAAGATATAAGGATGTGTATTGAAAGCTGTTGAAAAACAGGAGGTAGGAGGTAAAGGGGTAAGAGAGAGTATTCCAAGGCATTGAACAGACCAAAGTAAACCACACCCACAGTGGGCATACATTGAGACACCTCTTTGAGATACTCCTTTGAATATCAACTCAAATATTAATTATGAAAACCAGGACTGTAAAACAGGCACAGTGTGGGCTGTGGAGGGATATTAATGGGAGGGGAAGGGTGAAAAAAGGAGACTAAGGTGATGGTATATGATTGATGGACTTCATATACCTATGAAACAGAACTAAAAAACCTCTTACAATTGCTTTAAGTAGGTTGGGGAGGAGACTGAGAGGGAGAGACCATGGAGGCAATGTAAATAATGTACAATATAAGACTAATCGGAATTGTCACTATGAATCTCCCCCCTGTACGATGAATATATCTTAATAAAAATTTTAGAATAATAAAAACTATTGAATAAAGTAGGTTTTCAAAATAAGCAACATTTCATTTTAGGTGTTTTATAAAATTATCAATTTCCATGTGGCTTGGTTTTCCTTCGCCACTCCTAGTATTCACAATACATAGTAGACTTAACATTTTGACACCACAATATTTACTCTCCTCACTCTTCTAACCACATCTTAACTTCCATTCAGGAATAATCTAACTTCCTTAGACTCACTCTCTATCGGATACTGAATTCAAATCCTGTGGAAGACTTCTATCATATCCTTTTGTATTCCTCAGTTCTCCTTCTCCAGGAGCCTTATATTTGAGGAAAGTAAGACATGAATAGAAGAAACACTCTAGGTTTACTAATTTTAATGTCCAAGCTACAGAGATCCTCTGTCGCAACCAGAGATGTTTTTGCTACAGATTGTCATTCAGTCTTCTCTATAATTCAGAGAATAAGCTTCACTATGTCCTATTAAATTCAATTCTGCTCAATATATCTATTGGCTTCTGTTGCAGAACAATATCACATTGTATATTCACATGTGTTCCTTTCTACATGTATCATCTTCTTATTGCCATGCCTTCAGTTTATTTTACTCATTTCTGTTTTGCATTTACAAATTTTCATTACCGTTTTTGCTTTGGCTACTCTTATTCTACAGTATTATTTTCCCCCAAATTGTATGGGAGAAATTTCAACTCAGCATCAGCAGATGTTACAGTTAAAAAACAGGGGGGTTATACTTAATTAAATGTGGAAAGTAAAAGGATAAATAAAATTTAATTAGTTTCCTTTTCTGTGCATTGTGAATTTCTAAGAAAGAATATAGGATATAACCTGTTAGTGTACACAGACATAAAAATTTATCCCACCATATCAAAAGAAACTAGTGAGAACAACATACTTGGGTAACAATGTTCTAGATATTTCTATATTTACTATCTCCATTGAAGATTTTCATTCCTCTTGATCTTATTATAGAGTAATGCAATGTTATATTTTATTCTTAATACTGATCATTCCTATTTAGTATTTGTCTTATCTCCATTCTATCTGTTTGTAATTCTTGTGGTTATTTGAATTTCTTATACAGACTTTGAAAATGTTGAGACTTGATTTTTATGGTACTACAAAATATTTTAACTCGCTAAGACATTTTACATTTTTGAATATGTGTCTGTAACCAAAGTTTACTATAGGTATTTCATCTTTCTACTATTTTTTCGGTAGGTTAGAGTTCCCCTGGCATTCTTGATTATTGTTCATCATTTCTCACTGCAACTTTCCTGCAGCATGTAACATAAATCAGTGGTGCTGCCTCCCTTGCTTCTGCAATACAAATTTTAGAATTTTGAGATTATATCACTGTGGGGCTACATACTTCTGATGGTGATTTATAAGATGTTTTAAAAATACTCCTGAGCCTTGATGATGAAATAAGAATACTAAATTATGGCAGTTTAGCAACTCCTCTGTGAGTTAAGTTAGGAAGACAAATTTCTCTAAACTACCTTAGTAAATTCTTAGATCTACATAAACGTGTGTGGTGCAAAATTTTATTAGGTATCTGAAAGTAAGTTAATAATTTGGCCATGTTGTTTTTCTTCCTATTAAATAACTGGTCATGTTTTCATTGTGATAAATAGCACAGACCTGGGGTAAAATATTGTTTCCTTATCACATTCCTAATAGCCAATTCTCTTGAATGCAATGGAGACATGAAAGGCAACTGTCAGTGTTGAGATGATTAGGAGCAAGAGACAGGAGTTTCAAAACCAATCTAATATTAATCACTTCTCATCTGGCAATACCACTTTGAGAATAAATATATTATATTTGATTTAATATATTACATTAATTATGTATTATATAATTACATATAAATTATATATAATATAATATAATATGACTGATTGTAACTACATTATTCAAAATACAAGAATGCTGGAAACAACCCAAATCTCTAACATTTAGGGAACTGTCAAGAAAAAGTATGCTAAGGAGATGAATCCTTATGAACTGAAAATTCAAATGTATTGTACAGACACAAGGAAAGCATAAAAGAAAGAAGATATCTGAATTAATTTTTTCTCATAAAATTAAAATATAATAAATCTATAATAAAACAACACTTACAGAGTGAAATGGACATAGCAAATATAGTAAAAGGAGTTGTTTGCAATGGAAATACTCTTCACTATCCTTTATTTATTAAAGCTAGTTATATACAGAATGAAAAATACTCTTATAAGGTCTTAAGCAAGTTATTTTAACACAATGAGAGCATCCAGGCATTGGATGCTCAGAAACAAATACTCTAAAAGCAGAAACTTGTTAATTAGAGTAACATTAATTTTAATCATGGCTTTTAAAAAATATAGATTCTTTGGCTTAATTGCTTAGGAATGCTAAACTGAACTGGACAAATTCACTTATTTGGGACTGCAAAAACTGGGGATGGGAAGAAAGACACATAACATACCAGACAGAGGGTCTTATTACCCTGGTTGAGCATGTGATGGAGTTCATAATGAAGAATGGAATTTAACACTTAAGAAAAGATAATGTAAGAGATTACAGAAGCTAGCTGTGCACTTTGAGAACATATATGGTAGACTAAAATGTATGGAGAGAAAACATAAGATTATGAGGGCTATTTTGTTACAATTAAAGAAGTATCTGGAGACAGGAATAAAGTCAAACAGTTTTTCTCATTGAACATTTATTACTCTGCTTAAATCTGTTTGAAGCACAGAATTACATGAAATACTACACCAGCCAAGATCTACTCTTCCCCCGCCAGAATGCTGAGGCTAACACAAATCTGACTGACATGCAATTGAAATACGTGACTGTCCTTCCTTGAAGTCAGCTTTTAGCACTGTCAATATTAAAGGTGAAGTTCATTCCAACAGCTCTTAGTGGACATTTAATGCAATTCATAAAGTTGTCCAAACCCTTTCAAGAAAATAGCATCAGTGTCCTTTATGAGCAGGATCCAAAAATCCTTTCTTAACTTACCCATAAAAGGAGACTAAATTAAAAATTCCTGCTTTGCTCTAAGCAGCAGATAATTAATTAAGCCTCAACTCAGGAAGAAAACAAAGCATTACATGTAGAGACACTGGCCTGTAGAACTATGTACTGGGAAGCTGAAACTCATACCCCACCCCAATTTCATAAGTACTGTAATTTGTATATCATGCTTGCCATGCTTTCTTCCTTCCAAAAAGGTTTTTATTAAGCTAACATTATAGCAACATTAAAATAATTTTTAAAGAAGAAAATTCATGCATAAGCCTGACACTACACTAAACCTCTTTAGTTTGTCCACAGGCATATATTATTTGTAGTTGCAATCACACCCTACATATGATAAAGGAGCTAGGCTTTTTAAAGGCATTACTTAACACTCCCTAACAATACGTTCTGCCAACCTTTCCCAGCTTGCTCATTTAATTAGTACATATCTTGAGAAACTCAATGTAACCTACAGATCCATCAAAACATGAACACTTAATGGGTTCCTCCCAAATATAAAGCACAAAAGGCATATTTTACAAAAAACGTAATTCACATTTGTATACCACTTTTCATTTTACCTCTTCTCCAGACAGATAGTAGGCTGACAGCAGTCCACCAACAAAGCGTATATTTACTTCAAAAACAGAAATCTCAGCATTCTGTGGAAACAAAATTGAAGGAGGTTCAAATATAATGATAGCACACAATTCAGAAAACTACCATTGTGATAAGCTGCACTAAATATTTAAAGCCTGTTGAAATCTTACATGCTTGCCCAGAGAGATTTATACAGAAGGGGGAAAAGTCCTTCCTAAACATAGTGTTAAAATATACTGAAGTAGATAAAAATATTTTCTATTCTTAAAATAAAAATTATAAAAATATTTATAAAATAAAGCTCTTCAATCCCTGTATTCAACAGCAGACATAATACTTGGTATTTTCTGAGCAAATGCAATAGGACCAGGGCATTTTTTTTCTCTTCTGTGTTCTTTGTTTTCTTCATGACTGCTTTTCTTCCAGACTCTACAGTGCTGGCAGTTTAGCATTAGTGTAGCAATCTTTTCATATCATGTTAACGAAGCACAGACAGAATGCAAATAGGAGCTGAAGTTAGGGGTCTTGAGTTCTAACACTGGTTTACAACTTTCTACCTGTGGCTTGGAATGGTCACTCTGAAATGACATTTTGTCATTTCAGTAATGTAGGCTGTATCTTATTAAAACAGTTCTTACATGAATAATAGCCCGCTTTTATTACTATTTATAGTGTACCAAGTACTATTCTAATCTCTACATGATCATGTTTTTAACTCATCACACTGTTCTCATGAATTAGTTACTACTCTTATGTCCATTTTACAGATGGAGAAACAGACGTATAGTGGTTAATGTGACTTTTCAAAGGTCAGACAACTGAAGAATCAGATAGAATCAGGATTTGAACTCGAAGTACTCTGATTTTTTATTTAGAACTTGGCTATTCTGACTTCTACAATGCTTCACACGTTAAGCACCAGGTAGAGCCTGATTGGCCTATGACAACTGAGAAGGTCTTCAAACTCACTGAGTCTACATTTCAGTGGGAAAAAGTATTTCCAGAAAAAAGAAGATACAAATTGTTTTATTCCAACATGATTTCTCTAAAAAGGTATTAGAATCTAATAATCAAAGCTAAATAATTTGTAAGTTAAAAAATGTAAAACATTCCCTGCAAAATAAAGATTATGAAAATAAGTTAGAAGAGAGAATTACTAGGTCAAAATTAGGTAAATATATCATAAAATAACACCATTTGGTGATTTTTGTTTAATTGGACTTCATAATTTATAAGCATGTACCTAATATACTTTGATTAAAAGTATGCTATATAGGTGAAATTTATCTTGCAAGTGTATCACTCTGAACAAAGATTATATAAATTTGGTAAAAGCTTTAGTAGTCTACAAAATTATCGATAAGGAAAAGGGAAGAGAGTCCATTAATTTGATTTGATTCACCCAAGAAATATAGTTAATATGGCTAATAATGAAATCTAATGAATTCATACTCTCATATTCCTCTCAATTTGTACTTAAACTTTTTAGTTTTTACATCTGAGAACAGGTGCCCACATTTCTGCATACTGTAGCCTATTAAGATGATTTTAGGTTCTTATTCTGCCTAGGGGTTCATTACATATGCATTCTTTCTTGCATCTATGAAAATTTTGGATAATCAGGACCTTTCTATAGACATCTGATTAAAAAATTATTGAAAGGTAGAAGACTGAGCCATAACAAATGCCAACAGAAATATATCTTCAGCTAGACGTCAGTCACCTATTGGATGCAGTTATTCAACCAGCTATTGATCCTGTTATGTTGTGTATTCTAGAACCTAAATTCCATTTATCTTGTGCTGTCTGTAAGATACTGAAAGATAACCTTGCAAAGTGCTATGCTGAAGGTCAGTTGCTAAGACTTCGAATTTCATGGATCTAATAGGCTAGGAAGCCAGTCTAGAAAGCAAATCTGGTTTGTTAGTGAATCCATTCAGGTCCCCAGTGATTGCCATGTCCTTGTCTCTAAAACTTGCTCTGAATGTCACAACATCGCCATCAGTAATACTCAACAGTACCATCCTCCTGCATTTGGAAACCAGAACTACATTTGAATTCCCAACACATAATTCTTTCTCCCTCCTTTTTCACAAAGAGAAATTATTTAGGAACTTCAACTTGAGCTCTTTTAAGATTCTAGGTTTACCTATTATCTTTTAGGCCAGAAGATTGAAATTTAGATGCTTTAGGTCATTCTTTATGGATCCTTAGATAAAAAGGACTAAGAAGGCAAAAATTCTCCCATGATAACAAACTAGCTAGCAGACTAGCAGACACTGGCCCTGAGTTAAAAAGATCTGGGATTGAAGGCTGGTTTAGGGACTTCTTGAGAGTGAAATTGCAGTAACTCAGTTATTCATTCTGAGTCTTGATTTTATCATTTCTGAAAAGGGACAATGCATTCCTTAAAATAACGAGAAGTCTATGAATGTGAAGCACTGTGCACAAAACCTGTAAAAAGTAAGGCACTCAACAGACAGTTGTTGCCATTACCACTGTGCATCAGCTCAGCCTAAATAAACCACGGCCTACCTTCCATAGGGTTAGAGCAAAAATCAGAAACTCTAGAATCTTAACATTTATCTTCCATGATCCTCATGGGAGTCTTATTTCTCAATGGCCTAAAATTATTCTCTTGAAGAACCAGGTATGGTGGTGCATGCATATAATCTCACCTACTCAGGAAGCAGAGGAAGGAGGATCAAGGATCAAGGTCAGACTGGGCAAAAGTGAAAGATCCTATTTGAAAAAACAAACAAAAAAAAATGGCTGAGACAGGGCTCAAGTAGTGGAAGTTGAGGCCCTGAGTTCAATTCCTAGCACTGTCAATTTTTTTTTTAAATATAGTATCCTGATTAATTTCTTTGGGAGTTGATATATTTTATATTATATTTGGACTTTCAAAAGGGAATTTCTATAATATGAGAGTCTTAGGCCACTTTCATAAACTTCTGATTTCAATTTCTGTTAAAGTAATCATATTAAATTTAAAAGAATGCATCCCTCCTATCAATATTCATACCGTGTCTTTAAGGGGTGCTAAACGTTTTTCCACTTATCCTAATGACAGAAGAGGGGATGGAGCAGAGAGAGGACAGTATGTAGATGAAACAGTGTTTAACACCAAAATCGTATGTAATTTATCCTAACAATGTAAATTGTGCAGTCTGCTTCATCTGTATTTGCTTTAAAATAAAATTAATGTCCACCTTAAATCTTTTAGTAAGACTGCATTTCAGGAATATGCTCTCCTATGTTCTGTGGCTCCTACTATACATCTTAAGTTGAGTGTCAGTTTGAAAAGTAATTCAATCCTATCTCTTGTTTAAACTGCATGCACTTGTCAGTTAATGTTACAACTTGTTAGCAAGTGCAAACTGGACATTTCTGGCTAAAGACCTACCCACAAAAAATACGGAAAGTACTCCTTCATTTTGATTTTCTTCAGCAATGACCATGGAGTCAAAGACCATACTTAAGTAGATTCATCTATAAATTTAATAAAATAGGTAGTATGACTAAATTTATACCAAAAATAAGAAGTGAGAAGACATGGAAAAATTACGGTCTGGTTACCAACCTCTATTAGTACATAATACTTGGGTCCCTTAGACTTATATTTTCCACGTAAGTTTGATAGACTCTTAGTATTTCTCTCCTCTGATTTGTGATAGATAGATGTAAAAGTATGAGATGAATTGATAAAGACTGCTAAGATGGAAAAAGTCTAAATTTACAAATTATCTTGTATATTCCCCTGCCTGAAGCCTTAACATCATGTTCCATCTCACTGCTGGAAAAGACTGTGTCCAAATCAATATATTCTGAGCTCACAGATGAAGATTCTAACCCTAAATGGGCAACTGGAAAGTAACCACTTCAAAATCTGTTCCAAAATGGACTCCTGGAAAACCAACCGCCTCTCCGCAGGTAAAACAGCATTTTAAACAACTTAGAGAAACTTCAATTAAATTGCACTTTCTAAGCAACTTATTCACTGAAATTATGCATAAGATGACATATTCTAAAGGATGTCAGTAAGCAAATCAATGGGCTTCACCCAAAAAATAACAAATTTAGGTTTTGGAGCAGATTCAACCAGTTTCCTTTTGCTTGGACAACTACAGATACATGTGCTTCCGTTGTAGAGACAATTTCTTTTTTTGGACCTTCAAGCATTAGAATAAAGCTTGCTCTGAAATTTTATTTAATTGTTATCTTTTTTGAACATCCTACTTGTGAGAGTGGGAAACAAAGGAAGTAGAGAGGGAGTGGTGTGATTATTTTGGATGTCTGAAGCTTGGGTCTTTTCACATGAACACTCGAAAAGGGACCCTGCTTCCAACCTCCCTCTTCCATTCCCAGAGCTTATTCAGGGCTGAGAAGAATGCCCTTCTCCCAATACTGTGGGTCCAGTATTGTCTGTCATCCATTTAAGTGTTCCAACTTTCAAGTGACAATCTTCTCCTTGGCCCTGCCATGGGGTAGAGCATGTCTGGCATAGCAGCTTGACTTATATGCCCTAATCTTGAGTTGAGGAAATGTATACAGAGGAGTCAAAGAGATATCTTTATATCTGATTCTATAAATGAGGTTTTTTTTTTTTCTTTTTGGTGCATAGTTTGTTTTGGCAGGAAAAAAACTGTTGCTTTTTTTTTTTTTTTGAGAGAAAGTGGTCTTGCTATGCAACGCAAGCTTGCTTCAAACTCACGATCCTCTAGCCTCCACCTTCTGAGTGCTTAATTGTTGTGTGATGATTCTACATAGCATAACAAATCTGATTGATTTCATTAAATTGAAAAGAATCTTGGAAAAGATTCATCAATATTTAAATTCTACTCTGAACATCTGATTTTCAGGGTGAACCCCAAATATAATATTTTATTTAAAAGGGCAATTCTCTGATCTCTAAAAACATAAACTACTGCTTTACTACCTATTTCTCCAAATTACAAAGCTGGGAATCCCAGGCTCTTACCACACAGGAGAAATAAGCAAGATTTACTCTCAGCTGGCCCATTACATACCAACGCAATGATTGTGGTTAATGACAACTGCT